TAAGAGGTTTATGTTGTTTTTGTTCATAAAAAATAATTATTTCTTTGACTATGACATTAGTCGGGTAGTTTAGGTAAAATTGTAAAACCGTACTCTTCTTGGTACTGATATGTTAAAATATGTTACCAAACTTTTATAAATTTTAAGTGAAAATAATTAATGTGTTTTGACAACAATGGCAATGTGATTCGTCAGAATTACCTAGTTTAAGTATATTTTGATCTCATTATGCCAAATGGAACTTGGTCTGTGATTGTAATTTATGGTCTAATTAAACTGTCGTACTAAAACTCATCTTTATTTTATATATGTTTAGTTTGGTACCTATTCATTAGTTCATTATTTATAGGTACAGTATCGAAACCTAAAAATAAATTCCACGTACTTGATCGAATATGACACTTTCAATATTTTTTTGTTACTAAGCCCGACGTAACATATCGAAAGAGACACTTTCGACAGACTTTCCAAAAACTCTTCCATGGTATAGTATCGAAAGAGGCAGTTTCGATTTTTCTCATTATTTGATTACCGTAATAATGTATCGAAACTAGCTTTTCTCACAAACTATCAATAAATTGAATGCATAGGTATTACATATAAGTTGTTATTAATACAATTTTAGTATATATCTCAAATTAACTGCAGTTAGCTCAAAAGATGTAAATTTTATACGCAAAATAAACTTCAAAGTGCTCTGCTGTAAAGTTCCACTTTTCCATTTCGATATTATACGTAGGGGCAGTCGATACGGAAGATGGCGCTGTGTCATTTCACAACCGTTTCCTGTGGGACCTGCTGGACTGGGCTGATGTGATATCACCGTGGGCGAGCCGAACCATTCGTGCCGAAGCATGGCTCTCCCACATTTAACACAACAAGGTTACCAAGCCACGATATTTTGTTATAGAGTTATTCATCTTAAGGTTGTTACAATATTCTTTGTATTATCAAAATAGTGATCACTATAGTTACAAGTAGGTATATATAGACACAACTACACAAATTAACTATATCTATACTAATATTATAAAGAGGTAAAATTTGTAAGTTTGTATGTAGGGGGTAATCCTTGGAACCGCTGGTGGGATTCCCAAAATTTTTTCACTTTTTGATAGCTACAATGTTCCCGAGTACTGTAGGCTATAAAACATCACGCTACGATCAAATGGAGCCAAGCAGCGAGTGAAACCGCGCGGGAGTAGCTAGTATAATAATATAATAACTGCATTGTGTCTATAGTAATCACACATATAGCTATATATCTTGTGTTCACTATTGGACGCGGTGGCTGTGCAATCCGCTGCTGGCTCTAGACGTGATGAGTATGCGAATTTGTATGTTTGTAAACGCACCAACGACGCAGGAGAAAATCAGAGTATGGTTGCTTTTTAAAAAAATAAAAAATCTCGTACAAATAAGATTTTTTGTTTTCGCAGCGCTATCTTCTGGTAAGGTGTCTACGAACGTTAGGTATAGTACAGTCGTTCGTTTAATGGGCTGATTAAAATGTTCATTGTGGTGTAATATAGGGGTACAGGGAGGTGGGAGGGGGAGGGACGAAAGATTGGAAAAACGCGAGTAATCAAAGAATTAATTGATTCGCGGCGGCCGGTACCTTTGTTCCTCTTCATTGTAAAAATGGTTTAAAGAAGGTATTACGGTTGTTCCTAACGAGGTTTTAGACATTCATTGTTTTACAAGGGTTCAGGAAGAGATTGCTTCACCTTGTAGGGGCAAACCTTAATTTGTAAGACTCACTAATTTCTATCATACCATGAGCACTGCCATTGAATTATTATTATTTTTGAATGGATTACATTCTATTACTTTGCTCTGAACCCACGTGATCAGTGGTGGCGCTGGGAGTAAGTAGGTACTATAGAGTGTGCGTATTATACATTGAGTGCCGCTCTGGCACTCTCCGGCAGTAAGCGAGCGAAGCATTTGGCATCGCGAATAATTCACTCGACGAACTGGCAGCGTTTAAGTGCCTCCCAGCTCGGGTCTAAGCTTTGTTTTCACACTTTTCTTTACATCTCGAATCGCAATATATCCAAACCGTGCCTAAAATCAACAGGAATAAGGTCGATTTTGACTTGCACGGTGGGATGTTTTAGCTCGTTTACGAGCGTCAAGGGAATTTCTTTCGAATATCGTGTATATCTGGCCGCCCTGGCCCGGTATAATCCGCTGTGTTCACGTGAACAATCTCTATTGCATTGTAGTCGCACAGATGCGCTTCCAATCATTTTCCACGCTGCCATTGCATGTAATGTAAATTTTACAGAAATTTTATACCAGTTGCTCGGGTTTTAAAATTTTTAGATTTTGAAACTTTTAAGTATAGCAATCGTGCATTTAAATTTACAAATAAAACATACGACAACGACAATTGTTTCCATGTCGCGATGTATTGTTATAAAATTATTCAAGTTATTCTCTAACGGACAACGGACGCAATACATTCATACCTACTCCTTTTGAACGAGCTTCACTTCCATAAAAGTTAAAATGGCATCTCACAGATTGAACTGTGATGGTAATAAATTATGGTCAGCTTTGTTTTAAGTTTGGTAGAGCCATGCTTCGGTATTAATGGATAAACTCGACCGGTATGATACCACGGCCTTACAGAAAACCGGACGTGAAATAAACACAGCGATGTGTTTCGCTCTATGAGTGAGGTCAGGAACGCACTCGTAACTCCTCCTCCTTGGGCGGCGCTGATTGCTTACCATCAGGTAACCCGTCTGCTCGTTTGCCGACCTATCAAATGAAAAAGGTTTATAGGTGTATTCACCTGGGTCTTCAGTGTTCTCCCACGACGATACTTAAGAGTTAGTTTAGTAGACGATGAGGCCTGCTCTGCGACGCTCGGGGAGAGCAACCTTTTTTGGAGACCCACCACCCTCGGGGAAGGGCGAAGGGTACTGTCAGACTCATACTGACTAAAAACCAACCCGGTGTTCCTCCACTTACCCATGTGTCGGAGGGGCGGGTATCGCCGAAGCATTCGTCGCAACTCGGGGAGAGCAACCTCGTGCATCAATCTTCCTCAAACGCTTACTTGCATTCACGGTGCTAGGAGCGACACGATCTAGCTCAAACTGTGCTACGTATTTTTGCTATAAAACAAATTTGTTTTAAAACACAATAGGTACTATTCATATGAACATTAATCTCACGACATGTTACGTCGTGTTTATTTTATATGCGCTTCTAATCTTGTATTTACAGATGGCACGGGGAAGCAAGCACCAACAAGGACCAACTCCAAAAATGATAATTATGAATACCGACATATGTATGTACATATATGTATGTATATTCCGGTTTTGTCTGTATATCTACTTACAGTTACCAAACTTACACACACATATGTATAGCAACAATCAGTACACACGTAACAGCACATCAAGCTATGTATCGCAGAGCTTATTGTGATGATTTTAGAACAATTTTGATCATTTTTATTATAACTTTCGTGAGTCGTTCAAAATTAATTAAATTAAATTAATAATATTAATTTTGATCATGCTAAAACTTCTGAACTATAAAATAATTTTTCAAATCGGACAATTAATTGCGAAAATTTGACGAATTAAATTAACTATACCTCCTTATCGAAGGCAACGATAAAACAAAGTATTTTAAAAACCATTTTCAGCTTTAGCTGTACTGTATAAAAGCAATAATTACCCTTATAAGGCACATAAAATCAATCTCACAATTTTATTTACACAAACACCTACATATGTATGACAAGAGGCTGACATCCACACTGGCCGGCAGCACACGCTGCGGAGCTTAATTTAAACTAATTGCAGTGAACATGGACACAACTGCGCCGCTCTTTGTAACTCGATAACACTGACACTCCACCAGCTCATGTGACGAGTGACCGGCTCTGTGCAAGGGGCTTGCGATACAAATATTATGTAGATAAGTTAATACTAAATATTCATTGCTAGCTCCTCCCACCTCGCTAAGGAGCACCGTGTCGTTCCGACAGACAGCGCAGCGAGACGTGCGGCACTAAGAGCTAACGATAAGAAAAACTCATCTGTATCCTGTCTGTTTATTTGTGTGGCGCTCTCGTAATTCCTGTATTTACTTAGGACGACGTCGAGACGCCGAGCGACGGTAATGAACCTTTGCGTTGCAAACAAATATTGAATAACGTTAATTAGCCGAGCTAATCGCGGCCGCACACGCCGCGCCCCGCCACCGTCGCAGCGCGGCCGCACACGCCGCGCACGTTCAGGCTACGAGTGTGCCGTGCGCTTGGCGGTCACATATTTATAAGCTTACATTATAACAGTGTGTTTGCGCGTCCTAATCGTTACAACACAGAATACTGTCTGATCCTATTCTCCTTGCCTTTCGTGTACCTGTTGTACACTCACAGGCCAGCAGTTGCAGCACTAGCAGCTGGGACGCTGGGCGGAGCACCCCACTTGTAAGATATTATCATTAAACGCACTAAACAATGAGAATGCTTAACCCGGGCATTAATGTCATCGGGTGTACATAATTATCCGGCAGGTCTCGCGGCCTCTTTGTGTCCTCTTAATGGGCGCTGCAGGGCTCGCCTCGGCCGGCGCCCGGCGCCAGCCATTCGGGAAGAACCTCGTTAACCTGCCCCCCGGGCCATGCCGCGCCGAATTTCCTTAAATAAATGAAATCATTGACTTCGCTATCTTTTAATTAATAAACCAAAATTTTTAATGATAACGGCCTTAGACTACAGCTTAGCTTCAGTAATACGTGAGAACGACATCCAGCGTATCTTGATCACAGAAAATACTTTGCAGCGCATTCTTTCCTCACTAAACTTACCACATAACTACTTAGTAACTGAGTTTGTTTCACTCAGAGTGCAAAAACAAGATGATATCTACGTAGTATGTGACACGTTTGTTGATTTTTGCTTTAGCAGTTTTGACCACCTTGACACTTTACTCTTCTGAACGCTTAAAGAATTTTTCAAATCACCATTAACGCATGTCGTGAACTCCCACGCCGCGCGCTACGTGACTGAGGAAATAGACCATAAGACGATATTTGTTAATAGACTGGCGACCCGCACTCGACACACAAAATAGGTGCAGGTACCTGTAATATGAATAAAAGACTTGAATATTGGTAACTTGACTTTAATATTACAGTACGCAGTCGTGCAGCTCACTGCACTAGACCTACATTGTCAATGGCCGACACTCCCTCGACCACCTTATTTATAATAGAGGATGACACTGACATTGACAATTCTAGTGTTACAATAACAAGTAGGACTAATTAGAGATTACCTATACAAGTACCTAAATTGCCTCAATTTCTGACTCTCCTTCTGATTTTTTTTACCATTATACACAGTAATACATAAAGAGGTTTATTATATTTTATTTTGAATTTTGAATTGAAAAAAGATGTACATTTAAAATCTACTAATCTGTGGGGATATACATAGTTCTTATTGTTAACTTGCTTCCTGTGTACACACACAAAATAAATAATTAATTCAGACCATCTTTCGTGTTTTGGTCCCCAGTCATTTATTTAGTAATATATAATTACCATTGGAATACTTAATCTTCTCACTGTTGTGGTAAATAAATCTAATCATAGAATATTATTTAAGATTGGAATGTTAGGTTATTTCGATTTCCTTAAACCTCAAACTTATTTCTCAAAAATAACACGTTAATTAGTTTCACATCACATCATCAGCCCATAAGCGGTAACTGCTGAGCAGAAGCGGGCACCTCAACCTCCGGGCCTCCACGACTAGTTAGTTTATAAGACGCAAAATGTTTAGCTTTGCGGATACTTATTCTATTGTATTTTTACATTGGTCAAATAGCCAATGGTAAAGTAGTTGAGCCGGCGTGCGACGCAGTGACGCGGGCGCGACACGCGACGCGACAGAATGCAGCGCGTCATAAAACTATTTGCTTCCGGCCCGTGCTCATTATAGCAAGAAAACGTCGTCTTTTGTGCTTGTATTTATTTCTGTTTCTCAACAATAGCGCATTGTGACGCTGCGGACGCAATCAGGCGAGCCCTGCCGTGTGCCCCCCACCCCCCTCCACTGCCATCACCGGCATTTGACTACGATTTGTCTTCTTCATTATTATTGAAATAAAAAGAAATACAAATGTATACGTTGCACATGTGTGAAACTTTTGCCACGGCTGGTCTCTGCACTCGGTACGTAGTTAATGGCAAAGATCAAAAATATCTAAGCAGTGGACACACGGTGGAGACACGGTGGCCCGATGATAAAGTACCTATTTCTGAAGCTTAAAGGTGAGGATTTGAAACCAGGTAAGAATTAATGTGCCTATTGACAATTATATAGTCGGAGACGGTCAATAGTACGGACCCTAAACGAAGCGCGACACCTAGATGGCAGCACAGTCGCAATGACCTTGATGCCTAGCTTCGTGCTACAACAGAGTCTAGCTGGTGATGGAGGAGCGCTGTGAAGATCGCTCTCTTGCTATCCAGCAGTCGCGTCGCGCGTCGTCGGGTGCAGTACTTTTTAGCTAGGAACTGTTATTCGTTTCTTTGTGTTTTAATTAGTGCGATTTGTTGTAATATTGTTGTAATTTAAACTAAACTTGTTTGATTAAGAAGTCTACACTGTTTCTCTTTTGCTCGTTCACCCTAATAAGCCTACATTAAGCCTGACGATTAGTTCTCGTCAGGCTGACGATCCGACTTTAGGAACTTTTAATATTTTTATGAAAAATGAAAGCTTACGTTTCCGCCTGTTCTGAGCACAGGGACATAAACTCCGTTGAAGACCTAAACGAATTTAGGTTTAAATTAGTAGGTTTCTATATGCATTTGTTTAGATGTGTAAAAATCTGCAAATATAAGCTCTCGGTAGTATTTTTTCCAAATCGGTTTCAAGTTGCCGAGAATAGAGACTATTTTTAAAACTACTTATAAAATTGGGGAAGGGTTGACAGCAACACACACTTCCCGTCGCCCACTTAAAATTCGAGCTCTGATTACGCTATTAGTGCCCGCAACTTTGTTCGCGTGGAATAGTGCCTCCCTGCAGATCTTTGGTTTAAAAACTCCTATGTCCTTCTCGAGTTCCAGACCATGTCTGTATCAAATTTCACACAACTAGGCTAAGTAGTTTAGGCGTGAAGAAAATACAGACAGACAGAGTTACTTTCGCATTTATATTAGTAATATTAGTTTTGATTTAGATTTGGATTATATTCAAAAGACAGAAAAATAGACAGGAATGTAGTGTCGTTTAAAAGGTCTTACGAAGAGGAACAATATTTGCTTAGCCACCAGTCTCAAAACTCATTGCGTTTGGAGATAAACAACAGTTTTACTAACTAATAAAACCTCTATTCAGCAGCTATGACAGATCACTTCCTTGGTGGAAGCCCCACCGTGGATAACGTACACGCAGACGGATTCGTCAAAAGAATAAGGCAGACAACAGATATTCGAATTCCAAATTTTCTACATATGAATGTAGAGAGAAAACGGTTTAATCACAGAAGAGCAGATTTTCCGAGCCCGATAGAAACCTTCCCTTCAAGGACGGAGGAGGATATAACTCTACTAGTGTAAAGTCAAGATGGCAGGATCTTATTGTGCTGAGCATTTATCAAATATTTTGTAAATAATCGAAACTTACAGAGAGGCTCTTGAAGATCTGCCAGAGTGTGGCATTCATGAAGAAGCCAGATTTTTGCGTGCACGAATCCAGTCGCAACTTATCCGTATAAAAACATAGTTTTGTTATTTATTGATCAGCGGTGTAAATCATATTGTCCAACAGTATTGCACATGTTAAACAGGGCGACGTACAATGGGCACTTGTGCACATATAGTGTCCATCGTACCCGTATGGTACGCTACGCTTTGCGAGGTATACATATTTACTACTCGAGCATCAAATGCTGTTATAGTTAATACCAAAATTTTTGTAATGTTTTAAATACCACGTTCCACACATTTTGCCCATTTTTTTTCGAAGTCAGATTATGATATTAGATAAGTATTTTGTATGAAACAACAACACTACATGTAATAGATCGACTGCGACACTGAATATTTATTGGAATTACTTAAAGTTACTTAAAATCATGGTAGGCTTGTGTCGCAGCCAGTATAATCGCCGCGGTCCAAATAGTCTTGAAGAACCGAGTACTGAGTACGGCGACATCAGCGCGCTGTACAGCCAATTGTATGCCGAGTAAGGCGGGGGCTGCGCCGCCAGCCAGTGCAGGGGCTCCGGCAGCCCTTGCTGCGGCTCGAGTTGGGCCCCGTACTGCGGCCCGTACTGTGGCCCGAACTGCGCACCATAATGCAGCGAGGGAGACTCTGGTCGATGTGGTCGCTCATGGTGGATTGGAGGATTTATTCCAATTCGAGGCGGAGTCTCCATATACGATGGATATTCGGAGCTTTGGAGCGAAAATTGTTGGGTAGGCTTCTGTTTATTAGACAAAGACTCTGGTCCATCAGAGCTCAATATTATATCGTTTTCTCTTGAATCGTGCTGAATTGGTGCAATTTTAATCGTAACTTTTACTGTTCTTGGTTTTTTCAACTTAGGTCTGATCTTTTTTTTCTGTGTGGTTGTAACCAGTTCTGTCGTAGATGTTGTTTCTAAACGTCGAGTGGTCACCTCTGGTAATGGTGGCGACGTCGTGGTTGACGCAGTTGTTGGGGGCGTCAACTCATTGGATGTCAAGCCATCATTCGCAGAATAGTTAAGAGGTGTCTCCACTTTTGAAATCAGTTCTTCAGAAAACATTTCATTAGACCTGGCGTCAGTGGTGGGAGTAGTGGCAGACGGTGTGGTCGGCACAGGTGGAGTCGATATCGTCGATGTAGTGACGGGCGCAGAGCTCGTGGTCAGCACGGATGGGTTGCAGTGGACGGTAACGTTGACGGCTGCGAAGTTAGTGAGCTGGCCTGTGCGGTGCACCCGCGCTGTTAGAGCGTTGCTCATTGTGACTTCGGGCGCCGCGTCAGCATCACACACAGTCAAGTCGACGCCGGTGACCTCTGCGTTCTCGCATGCTGGCGGCATCTGTAGGAAGTCGGAAGTAGGTTACACAGAGCGATCGAGGCTCTAGTGAGTACAATAGCGGCACTCAACTCACCGGTACTACGATATTCCAGTCAGCTACTCCAGGCTTGAGTTGCGTCTCGATCAGTCGCTGCGCAGTGCCTGTCGGCTTGCCTGCATCATATACAATATACATATTTAAAGGCATATACATATTTGACAGTACTAGTATGCTATGCGTTGTATGGTAATGACACACAGCTTGAAATCAAAAGTTTACTTTTACTAGATTTAGTGAAGGATTGAGTTTTAGGCTCCAATTTTTCTGGCAAACATTTAAAAAAAACCACTGTCGTGGTAGTAGGGAGTGTCATGTTTCGTGGTTCAACACAAAAATAACAAAAACATACCGGCCATTGGTGGGCAGACACATGGACTCTAAAAACAACACTGCATTGATGATCGAGATGCTGGTGCAGAATACTCCAGATCCCATGACACCTAAAACCGGCACCGAAACCGGACAGCTAACGTATATGGCTATGCAACTCGTTTGCAACGCCGGCTAGCCGGCGACCGCCGCGTTTCAAACGATTATTATTTAAAAACAAAACAAAACTAGGACTACTTTTGTATAATAATATATTCCTAGATATTATTATACAAAATAACTTATACATAATGTAAGTTTTTTAAGCTTCAAACATATTACTGTCATTGAAATATTATTTCTTTATTTAGGTAGTAAAACTGTACCGTAATTGGCGGAACCGCATTTTCGTGGGAGTGTATCAGCGGCGACGACAGCGGCGGCGGCCGCCAGCAGCAGCAGGCGGGCGCGCATCCTGAGTGCAGGCGGAGCAGGCCGCGCGCAGCGAGCGCAGAGCCACGCGCCCCGCACCCCGCACCCCGCGCCCCGCGCCGCCCCCGCCCCCGCCCGCCGCGAGTTGTTCCGATTGCTTCCAATACAAATAACATTAGTCTCCATTGTACCCGGTGCGCGGAACGAATGCAACATCCTAATTACTTACTAATAAGGGGCACAGGACGAATGATACAGTTACCATTGCAAACCAAAAATGTATATTATACAAAATGAAATCAAGTCGCATTAGTCACACTACATATTTAGGTATAAGATTTGTTAAACGAGTGCACGCAATATATAAGTATTTTATTGAAGTAACAATATAAGTTTTCTTTAACGTTCTGATGTCGTAGAACTACCTATATAAACATATTATTATCTTTACTTACCTACATATATTTGGTGCTCTGCGCGGCATGTCCAGATTGTCCAGTGCCAAATAAATTACTTTTTTCTTCCTTCTTTCTTTGTTCAGTACCTACTTGGTTGGATAATTTGTATTATTTACTTAAAGCCTAGATAGGATTTAAAGAGAAATCTCATTTACTTGTTAATTTTTTACTGAAAAAGGCATCTTAAACCCTTTTTTGACATATACGCATGGACGCCAAACGAGCAGAAGGATTATCCAATGGTAAGCAATCGGCGCCGCCCATGGACACCCGCAACAATTGAGGATTAACGAGTAGATACGTTGCCGTCCTTATGGGGATTAGTTATTAAAAATTTTGAGATTGGGGAGGGAAAGGATGGAGCCTCCGGTAACTTCACTCATACGGCGAAACACATTATTTCACGCCAAATTTCTGCGAGGCCGTGGTATCACTCCGGTCCATGGCACATCCGCCTATCTAGTATATCTCCGTTTCTGTATTTGTTTTCCTATTTACTGTTTGTGTGATATGCATAAATAATAAACAAAATTATGTCTATAGCTTCTTTTTTCAAATATAAATTAAATGTAATATTTTCATATACATATAAACTGACAACGGTGACCGTGAGGATATTTATCGTATTAAATAGTTAGCTCAGATATTTGCGACGGGGCAAGTTGTGGATTGCTCCGATAGCCCGCTTTTGCAGAATAAAAGTGATTCCACTTGCGCAGCTCCCACAGCAACGTTCCGTATAACATAATGCTGTGTAATTAAAAAGTTTTCTCGCTAAGCGCTAGGATGATAATTGAGAACTAATTGACGAATGGAGCTGTTTACTTCTTAAAAAAATAGCAGTATGATCTGCAAACAGCATCATTCCTGGATCAATTTTAAATATAAATGGAAAGTCATGTAAACTTAAAAGACAAACGGACCTAACGTGGAACCTTGAACCAAAAACCGTTTGCAAGAACCAAGAACCTTTAGTTGCCTAACCTCTAAATATGATTTTAACAGACGGAACGCAGTATATCTAAGTAATATCCCGTAATGGTCTAATCTCAACAAGTGTTTAATAATCATCAGTTTTCAGATTAAAATAAAAATCTTGTTGTTTTTGTTAAAAAAAATAATACTTCGTTCGTCACTGTTTTACGATTGTTTATAGCTCGTAGCATTCAACATGGCGTTTTGTCAATTTGTATGATATTTATTTATTTATTTATTTATTTATTATAAGCTTCACGCACAAGATATTGTACACAAGGTGGACTTAATGCTTTGAGCATTCTCTACCAGTCTGACCTTTGGGTGATGCAGAGAAGAATACCAATGGCAGATGCAAGAAGCAAGCATGAAATTGATGAAATTGTAAAAGGCTGAAGAATATATATACCACTATAATAAATCTACACATACAATACATATATATGTATATATACATAAATGTATATATATATCATTCATTACCAAGTAAATAGATATATGTATACTTACATAAGAACTTACACATAATATTACATAAATACATATAATCATACACACACTATATACATCATGTCATGATTCTGACGACTCTGCCACTCTCTTTAACAGGAGCTCTCGAACTTTCCGCTTGAACGACAAACGACTGGGTGACAACCTGATTTCGGGGGGGGAGCGCATTCCATAAAAGAATAGACTGGACAAAGAAAGAAGAATAAAGAAAATTAGTGCGATGAGTAGGGCAGTTCAGAAGACGGTTGGTAGATGAACGAAGATATTTGGTGTGATTTGCGCATGTGTATTGGAAGTACGAGGATAGGTAACTAGGCAAAGAAGGAGTATCAAGAAAGGAAAAAAGAGTGGTTAGCGCCCTTTGCTCCCTGCGCTGGCGTATGGGCACAGTATAAATATCATATATTATTACCTTGGTATGGGCAACCACTTCAATTGCAGCCGATGTGCAGAAACGTGATCATATTTACGCAGGTTGAATACGAAACGAATGCAGTTATTTAGAAGACGGTCAAGTTTGTTGAGGAGATCTGCATTCAGGTCATAGTAACAGACATCAGCATAATCTACTATAGGGAACAACAAGGCTTGCACCAACATTGACTTGGTGGTGGAGGGAAGCAAGTTTTTTAGCCGGTAAAGAGCCCGCAGCGATCCGGTCACCTTTTTACACACACTAGTGACTTGTGCTTGCCAATTCGAATACTGATACATGGTCAACAGCTATTATAAATTAGATACTATCTTTTTTTGAGTGACAAAATCATTAATTGCAACCGCAACCCCAGGATTAGAAACTAGGTTGAGACCGCAATAGGCCGGCAAAACACTTGATCTTTTTATGTTGCGAGTGTGTATGGGAGGCGCAGATTGCTTACCATCAAGTGATCCGTCTGCTCGTTTGTTGTTCACCTATTCTTACGATTCATGACGGTGAACATAGGTGCAAGCGACCTATGCACGCACGAAAACTACCAGTCCCGCCACCACCAGCAGCGCTCCCAGCCCGAAAGAGGCAGGCCGTGTGGTGGGCTCACTCTCTTCCGTAATATACTGTTGGCCAACATGCTGCTGCTTGTTGAGCCACTTCGTGTAACATAGAGAATACTATATCTTACTCATTGTAATAGTTCTCACAGCTATAACAAGAACTCGGTACAAATCACTTTAACTTAAAAAAAAAATATAGGCGGAAAATTAAATTAAAGTTAATTAAATTAAAGTTAATATAATTTATTGTTCGCACACACATTTCCTCTTTGGGGGTGGAGGGCAATCACATTCTGATGTTGGCGGTGGAGGACATTCTGATGTAGATGGTGGAGGACATTCTGTTGTAGATGGTAGAGTACATTCTGTTGTAGGTGGCGGAAGGCATTCTGATGTTGGCGGTGCAGGACATTCTGATGCTGGGGGCGGAGAGGATTTTAAGGTTGGGGACGGAGAATATTCCGATGAGATCGATGGAGGACATTCTGCGTCAAACTCGGCAGTAGGCTTAGATTTTGTTGCAGATTTTGATTTCGGTGATGAATGTTGCATTGGCTGGTCTGCGTCTAGCGGAGCACGTGGGAAGTAGGTCGGTGCCAGGCGGCGCAGTGTGGCCTGCAGGCGGTTTATGTCTTGCTGCTGCAGCTCCAATTCACGCTGCAGCTCTTCAAGGGATAATAATAATGCCAGCCACTGTGATGCTTCCTCCAACACCTACACATAAAATTTTCTTATATTATAATAATATCTAGATAATCTTTAGTTTTGTTTCCGAAATGCAAAAAATAGCAATTTTCTAAAGCATATTAATGTTACAAAAATTGTCACGTAAAGCCACATTTTTTTTTGTTTTTTGGGGAAAGTCATCAAAATTTAATTACTTCTCCTGCTCTGGGCCAAGGTCGAGGTGCCTCATTGCGCTTACCTCGCAACTCCGGTTGAACATCAGCCCTATAGGGCCCCGTCTGTGGTGGTCTATTGGCTCTTTGAGGCGCGCGCGGAACGCTACGCGCCTTACGCTCGGGTCTGGCTCTGTTTGGGCGGCGAGCTGCCCTTACTGACCGCAGACCCGCGCTTACGGTGGCCGGAGATTGTCCCTTGATCCCCGATGCCCGTAGTGTCTCCTCTTTGCGAGCATAACTGCTTCATATAAGTAGGAAACGGCGTCCCAGTTTCTCTCGCTCCGCACTATGGCCTCGACTAAGGCCGGGCGCGAGAGGTCGCCGCCGCCGATCACTTCCCTGAGGACACGGCGGTGCTCAGCCCAGGCAGGTCCGCTATACTGCCACCGTATGCTCCACCATATCCTTACAATGACGACTCTCGGGTGCTTCCTCCCGCTGGATCCGAAACAGGAACCTACCGAAGCTGCCGTGCCCGGTAAGGACCTGCGTCAGGCGGAAGGTGGGGACGCCGTGGCGTCTCTCAAGCCACTCCTCAAAGAGGAGTCTTACCGCTGCTATAATGGCGTGCCCGACGTAAAGCCACATGTGAATGGGGTTCAAATTGAACTTAAGATTATAATATTTATACCTCCTGGACATAACCGCCAAGTACAAGTAAATAAATAAAGCCATGAACTAACCAGCGCACACCCATGGGTACATTATAATGAAAAACAATGGCGCGTCCCGCCTGTCTAAATCAATCTGCTCTCAATATTAAGTTCCAGAAACCATTTCTCGTCGCCGGAAAAAAAATATTTATTTCCGGCTACTGGGACCCGCGGTCCGAGATATTGTGATCCCAGTCGCCGGAAGCCTCTTTTTACTGTCCCTAATTAGTTGACCACACTGTCAAGCACACTGTCATAGATTTTATCTTTAGATTAGATCACCGCATCAATGAAACAATGAATTTATTTTTGCAAATACGCCATAAAACGCCAATTTTACACGTACATATGTACAAAACTAGTTGAAGCCGAGCATCGAGCTCTCTGCTTTAGACCACAAATGAAGGCAATGCGGCGACCGGCACTGGCACACAAACATTCGGATGTTGATGCCGTTGATGTGCGCTAATAACCAGCTCGGTACGGCAAAGTGCACTTGACAGTGACAGCCACTATATGAATATAAACGCAGGGCTACCGCAAACATACAACTATTTATCGATTAGGCTATTTAGTCGAATTGTGTATTTCAATTCAATCAATTTCACACAGCTACACTGGTCAGTCGACGCAGTATGCATACAATCGATAAATTTTCTAACAATCATCCAACAAACTTGTGTAGGCCGCTCTCGAGTCAAGGTGTTGCTAATGCGAGACTAAATGGTCGCGGATCGAGTGTTTAGTCGATGGAATGCGCACTTCTATACATTACAAATTAAATAAAAATGTTTTATGAAACACAACAAAACATTAGTACAACTAGGAGTCGTATGTTTGCGCTAGCCCAAATAGATGTCACGCGGACGCATAGCTTCTTGTGGGTACAAGAAACTAGTTTTGAAATGATATAATACCTTATCATCTTGCTTGTTCGCTTGTCTGTTTACTTCGAAAACCACAATAAGCCCTCCGACACAGAATACTACCGCTTCACCTGACAACAAACGCATTTTTCTTTTATGTAATAGATCGGCAAACAAGATTTAGGATTACCTGGTGGTAAGCAATCAATCGCCCATGGATACCGGGAACAATGGAGGAGTTACGAGTGCGTTGCCGACCTTTTGGGGATTAGGGATTTCGATGTTTTGTGATTGGGGAACGATCAAGGAGGAGGGTAAAGGATTGAGCCTCCGCTAACCTCACCCACACGGCGAAACACAACGCTGTGGTTGTTTCGAGCCGGTTTTTTTTGGGGCTGTGGTATCACTACGGTCGAGCCGACCCATTCGTGCCGAAGCATGGCTCTGCTACATTTACACGCATCATATAATTTCGTTACACGCATCATAGTAATATAATTTCGTCACCCCTGCCGGCGCTAGAGACTCATGTTGTTGGTGGTTTGTACGCGTACTCGTGGGTTGTAATTACCTAGGATTTTGGCGCCCGAATCGAGCGCGGCTTGTTCGGAGATGGGCGGCAGCACGCGCGGCTGGCGCAGCGCCAGCGTCCACAGGCGCATGCGCAGCTGGCAGGCGTGGAACACGCGGCCCGTGGCCACGCACACGTAGCGCCGGAACCGCGGGTTGTTCACCGCCAGCTCCTGCATACACATCACTCTCACAAGAGGGCCGAGTACTTGTGCTCCGAAAATACTCAACTTATTTATTAATCCCCTTGTATGTAGCTGTAGACCTCGATGAACCGGTTGCAGCACCTTTTAGTGTGGGTAATGCCATACTGTTTGACATGGCAGCAGTGGTCGCGATAGTGCGGGGTGGACGGTACAGATATATTTCTTAAAAAAAAACAATTTCCATAAAAAACATTTATTCTTTGAAATCATTTGGTCGTAGAAATGCTCGTACACGCTACCAGACACATAATACACGATAGAATGTAAACCACCTTAATCTTACTCGCGAATGGCACAGTGAGCTGGCGTGCTAGCAGCGTGGCCAGCCGGAACAGCGGGAACTGGCTCATAGCGCGCCGCCTCGCCGCACGGACCCGCGCGGCCCTGCTCGACACTCATCAGCAGCACGAGACAAACTGTATAGTGCATTAAGAGCAGTGGGCCCGAGAGCTGGGCTCGGTCGCGTGTCACCGTGACAGCCGTCAATTGACACGAGCTGTGTCACACGCACGGCGCTGTAACCTGTTTACATGTTACTTTTCCCCCGTACTTGTGACTATACTCCTTGGTCTACATGTGTATATGGTAACATCATAAAAATTACAATCTAGCTTTTTTTAATGCTAATAAGTAATTCAATTTTGCCTTAATTTGCTAGGAAAGTATAGTCCACATAGTAAAGTAATAATACTAAAACGTAACGATAACGGTTTTCAAAAAAATACATCCAATGTCAAAACACATGACAGTTGACAACTGTTAAAGATGCCACGAACCGTAAAACGACAACGATACTCAAGTACACTGCTTGACGTTTCCGAACGACGTCAGATGGCGTTATTCTAAACTATAGCAATGTGCCTCTTTGTTGGTTCTGCGGCAAATATTATACTTTAAAATACTAAGTATATTGTATAGTTCAAAACAGTACAGTTCAAACCAGTGCATATCAAAACAGTTTATTTCAAAATAGTTCAGTTCAAACCCAGTTCAAACCAGTGCAGTTCAAACCCAATTCAAACCAGTGCAGTTCAAACCCAATTCAATCCAGTGCAGTTCAAATCAGTGTATGTAGTTCAAAACAGTTCAAATATACGAACCAGCAGTTCAAGCACTAAATACGCGGCAATTACAACCTTATCAGTTGCTACACAAGGTCATCGATTACTTCGGTAATTAACATTGGTATTAATATTATGAACCTAAAGAGTGTTGGTTTGAACGCACTAATTTCAGGATCTAACTGGTCCAAAATGTAAAAATGACCATTTAATGAAGAAGGCTTTAAAATATCACGCTACGATCTGTCGGAGCCGAGCAGCGGGTGACACCGCGCGAGAGTAGCTAGTATTTATATCTATAATATAAAGTTTATCCAAAGCTTAGCTTCATTTCATTCTTTCAATTTGCTTTAATTGCTACCCACAAAAGATGTAATGATTCTGAATTAGTCGTCTGCGACCGAAAATTCATCGCATCGTAGACCTCCAGACTAGGCCGATAAATTAATGGCATTAAGCTAAATGGCTGTGGGTGGTTGCAACACTAACAAAACGTTTCAAAGTTGTATACCTAAAGAGAAGCGCAAAGAGAAGCGTCACGTCACGTCTTGTTTCTAGCAATGTGTACCTATGGGGAATGTCTTTGGTTTAAATAATTGTCATGATCAGTATACAGCTGTCACTACATATTTTACGTTGGCTGAATACCTGCCTTTAAATATTATACCCAAAGAGTAAAGTAATATACGTAGAGGGAAATTGTACCCGTCTGTACCATTGTCAACATTACCTGTGATACTTGAAACCTTGCAGTGTATCATGGCTCTATCGTACGTATATACTAAAAAACGGAGTAACTTCGGGCGTCAGGTGCAGTTCTCCGTGGTGAAGACAGACATGTGTGACAGTATCGCCGTGAACCAAGTCGAGCGCAAGCACTACATCCTGCGCAACCCCGTGCACGAGGCCACGCAGCACACGCCTCGCTTCTCGCAGTGCGAGGTCAACACCATCCGGTAAGTGGAACCGAGCGTCGAGCGCGCCCAGCTCGGGCGGCTCGCGCTCATCCCCCGCCTGTTGCAGTGCTGAATACACCAACAGTGGAGCCAACCACGCCGAAGGTGGCTGGCCCAAGGATGTTAACGTGAATGATCCCGAAGCCACGCAGAGGTACCGCCGCAAGGTTGAGAAAGACGATGGCTACATTCGCTGCGTTATGTCACTTTCTCCGGTAAGCCAGGTGGAGACCGTAATACTAAGATTCTGTAAGTGTTCAGCGGTTTTACTGTCGATTTACCTTTTGCAGGGATTAGAGAAGCTTGTTTTGCAGAACAACGCGATCGAAATGTACCAAACTTACTACGCAGAACTCGGGAACATGCCGGAAATAGAGCAAAACGGCTGCCGCACGGTGAACGTGTACCGCGACGGCGCAGGCGTCAGCAAGGTCGGACGATCCAGCAAAGCCGCAATCGGTCCTTGTCGACCAGTCAGCTCCATCTGCTGGCTGCCTGACGGTGGATCGCGGTTCGCTGTGACATACGTGGACATCGACTTTAATCGCGAGACTCGCTCTCCACTCGACGCGTACATATGGGACGTGGACAACTCAAACAGTCCAGAGACGATTATAACTCCACCTTGTCCAATGTTGGACCTGCAGTACAATCCGAAGGACTCGCACGTGCTGGCGGGTGGCCTGATGAACGGTGGAGTGGCGGCGTGGGACTTGCGGATAAAGGGAGACAAGCCCACGGCAGCGAGTCCGCCACACGTGGCGCACCGTGACCTCGTAAGGAATGTCTTGTTCATCAACTCGAAGACTGGCCTAGAATTCTTTTCAGCTGGGCCGGACGGCGTCGTCAAATGGTGGGATATTCGCAAGATTGATGAGCCTACCGACGAAATGATCATCGACATAGTTAAGACTGCAAACGATGTTCAGAGCATGGCCAAGGCCAACGGCGTTAGTACGCTGGAGTACGAACCGACTGTACCCACGCGTTTTATGGTCGGCACGGAGAATGGTCTCGTCATCAACGGCAACCGCAAGGGGAAGTCGGCAGTGGACAAGTTGCCAGCAAAGGTGCGCCTACTGAATCATTTATCACGAGTGTTACTATTCATTAAACAATATCATGGGCTCCCGGCAGAAATTTTTTTTTTACTTTTCACTTATTATACGGCTACAAATTTCATAAAAATCTATTTAATATTTTAGTATTTATTTTGTGCTTGTAAAATATCTGTAGTACAAGAGTGCACAATTAATCGCGTTCTCTTACCATTTACGTTTTGTTAACGTAAATGGTAACAATAGTTGTAAAAAAGTTATCAAAATCTTCGAACTTTGTAAGATACAGACTTTACCCTAGGACTATGCGTCCGAAATCCCTTTAATTTCCAGTATAAAATATATAATTATTATATTTTCGGGTCTCAAACAATCGTTGTACGTAATTTTACCTTTTTTGGCAGGGGAATATCGTCAAATGACTTCTCCCGCCCAGGGTTCGGTTCGGTATATACGCGAAGTAATATTAAGTATCGGTTTAATAGTTAATATTACTACGCGCTTAAACTATTATGTATAAACTAGCTAGCTAGGACTAAACTAGCTGACCCGGCGAACCTCGTACCGCCTTACTGTAGCTTTGATGCACTACCTACTTTATTTTACCTACATCTACAAATGTAGATGACAATGCTTTCCGTGGGTATATTTCTTAATCTGCTGGACGTGTTCACGTCACTGAATTCTTCCTAAAGAGCAATCCCGGAAGTACGGTCAAGACCCCTACCAGCACCTTACTGAGATACATCCTTTCCCCGAGTCTCCTTAAACGCCTATCCTCTTAATATTATTAAGTATAGAAAATTATGAAATTATTTCCACCTCTCTCTACCCCTAGAGCTCTTGTTTCAGTCTCTTAAAGTTTAATAAAAAAATAACAATATTATTTTTTTCCCCTTTTAGTCCCTATTTTCTATAAACTAAAAACCTATAAACTTGTCTAAAAAACAAAAACAACCTATGTCTTCTGCCTAGGTTCGATCCGAGGAGCACTAACTATTGCGAAGAGACCATACCACTATCGACTACGACACAGCCGCTATGTCAAACCCTGTGACATTAGCGCCCATATTATGCGTGAAATATTGCGAAACAGAAAACTCGAAAACATGTGCTTCCCCAGACGATCTAGCTCAGTCTTATGACTAAGCTAGATCGATTTTTCGTCCCCGAAAACCTCCTCATATTAAATTTTAGCATAATCGTTAGGACGGTTTCCGATATCACTTTTTTTCAAGCAATCAGCGCGCCGTCTGCCGAGCTTATTTGTGAATATGGTTTATATTCACAAATAAGCGCGCGACTCAAACGTATACAGAAAAATCCATTTACATCGGTCAAGCCGTTTAGGAGGAGTTCAATTACATGCACACGTACGGCAAATTATATATATACATATTATATATATACATAGGTAAAGATAAGCCTTCTAGTAAGTAGCATGTCCCCCACTGAGCTCCAGCTGCAACTCTTCACATTTGGATATCTCTCGTCTCATATTTTAACTGTTTGTTACAGTTCGAAGCGCACTTGGGGCCAGTGTGGCGAGTGGAGCGCAACCCTGCATTCCTAAAGAACTTCCTGACAGTGGGCGACTGGACGGCGCGCGTTTGGAGTGAGGAGTGCCGTGAGTCTGCTGTGTTATGGACGCCGCCTGCGCGCCACAGAATCACTAACGGCGCCTGGAGCCCCACGAGGGTGTCGCTGATGCTGCTGACCCAGTACGACGGCAACCTCTCTGTGTGGGACCTGCTGCGGCGCCAGCACGAGCCCGTGCTCACCATGCAGGTGTGCGAGGAGCCGCTGGTGACAGTGCGCATGCACGACGCGGTCAGTACAATTGTAAATATATAGCGCGCGGCTGGCTCAGGCCGGAACCCATCGGCTCGAATCGTGTTTGCCCCGTTACTGGGACGTCAATATCAATGGCGAGTACATCACTCATCTCAGTTTGCTGATGATGTAGTTGTAATGGCAGAGACGTTGGAACATATCAATATCGTTCTCGGGAAACTTTACATTTCTAATGTGTGTGTGTAGGTTTGTTAGACTCAAGCATTTCCCTCAAACCTATAAATTAAAAGTAATCGGAAAAGTTGGCAACCAGCTTAACAATACAGTAATCAACGAGTGACACGGCAATACTTGATCAATGTTGTATTTCCCTCATACAATTAATGTTATAGAAAATATCCATGTTTTCAAACATAAAATATATTTTCCATTTGTCCGGAACACAGGGTTACTAATGACGTATTCATAATAATATAGAGACTGTTGTGTACAATATCGTGCAGTAGATGAGGCGTGCCGTTGGCTGCAGGGCTCGCTGGTCACGTGCGGCAGTCACAAGGGCAACATTTACCTGCTGGAGCTCTCGCAGAACCTGTCCACCAGCGACAAGAACGACAAGCAGCTGCTCACCTCGGTGAGTGTGTGCGTGTTTGCATGTGTGCGTGTATTGCCGGCTCCACACGTTGGCCCCAACGCTTGTACAAACATTTGGTGAAGCGTACACACGTTGGCTAATACACTATTTCATTTCCGTCGGAGCCAATGTAAAGATGTAGCTACTGAAATCCAAATTGATTTATTAATTTTTATGATACTTTCGAGATGGGTTCCATATTATTGAATGTGCCTGATATACATAGTTAGTTCTATACATTACAACTTTTTAATATTTCCAAACGGGTGGCGAATTTGTTGCTGAGGACGTCTCGACGTACAGTACGGCCGCCGTATCTTGGCGAGTCTGAAGTTAGCCGATTAGCTGCGCAGTACACAATTTTGTTCCTAAAAGATCCATTGCGCAGACTAACGGCTAACTTCTGACTCGCCAAGATACGTCGTCTATACTGTACGTCGTCGTACGACAAATTAAAAAGTATCAAGATCATGCGTCACTCGAAGCGTGTTGCAACAGGATTGAACTTGGCGCCAATATGAGGACAGGTCGCGAATGTTTTCACATGTTCCTTTGATAAAACTGAAATATATGAGTGTATGTGTGAGGGAGTAAGTATCCGCGCAGGTGTTGGAGCGGGAGAGCAAACGCGAGCGCATCCTGGAGGCGCGCCTGCGCGAGATCCGGCTGAAGCAGCGGCAGGCGGAGGGCAGCCCCGTGCACTCGTCCACCGACTTGGACGCCACGCTCGGCGACAGGGACCTGCACGAGGCGGCGCAGGAGTTCATGCAAGTCACGCGCAAGGAGCTCGCTGCTCTGTAGTGCAGTGTGTGGCCAGCTTGGGAGGGTGCAAGTACTGTAGGCGGAGGCTGCGGCTGTTCGTTTGTTCCTCTTTTATTTACCAAATAACTACCTAGTTACGCTATAGGTCTAGAGCTAGTTATATTGCGTCATTCTGCTACTTAAAAACCCAACCACCAAAGAATGAATAGTTTCCGCATAAAAGGTGAGTCTTTCATCATATTTTTATTATTTACATTGTTTACTATAATACTTATCTATGACACTACCCTGTGATACTTAGGTACGTATTTCAACTGCCTCCAAAAAATAAAGGGATTTCCAATATGTTTCCTGTCTGTATATTTTTGAATGAATACTTTTGTTAATTAATGTTATACACTTATAACTAGACACAACTAGACACTGGATAACGTGCGTTTGTATATTATACCCATTTACAGCGGTAACAGTATAACGTTAAGTCTGGTTATAATACACATATGTTATCTTTACAATATTTTCCACTCACGCTGCGTTCCGAAATTTTACCAATTTTTTTTTTTTTTTTTTTTTTTAGACTTCGGCATACGAGCTTACGGAAATCCTGATGGTAAGCAATCACAGCCACCCATGGACACCCGCAACAACGGAGGAGTTACGAGTGCGTTGCTGTATGGGGATTAGGGATTTGGAGATATTGGGATTGAGGAAGAATTTGGGCCCTCGGTAGCCTCACTCACAAACGCGAAACACAACGCTGTGGTTGTTTCACGCCGGTTTTATTTGAGGCCGTGGTATCACTCCGTGCCGAAGCATGGCTCTCCCACACTAAAGTAACAGTTAGTCAGAGCTGTTGAGTAATTATTGGGATTTACCTTTGACTACATTCTGGAGCGCCGACAATAGCCGCGCGCATCTTTTGTTTTAACAGTTAAATATAGTCTAATAAGAAGTATAAAAACTTTTAGGTTTTTACTTTTTATTATTTGTACTATTTTGGTGTTAAAGTGTATTTTTAGCCCATAATATCAACAAAAGTTAAATTGATCAACTAATGATAAGTAGTAGAAGCAATGAATGAAAAGATGTGAATTATGCATATAATTGCTAATTATCAGCCCATGAATACAGATAAAGTCACAAGCAATGCTAGTAATATATACAGGGTTTTTTTTTTTGTGAGGGGAAAATCATCAAATGACTTCTCCCGCCCAGGGCCGGGCAGGAGGGAGTGTCAGACTCTTACTGACTAAAAACCCCCCTGTTCCTTCCCCTGCTTTGTGCCGAGGTCGCGGTACCTCATTGCGCTTACCCCGCAACCCCGGCAGAATATATACAGGGTATCCGGTTAAGAATGGATAACCTTGAAATGCCTTTTAGTATATGTATACTAGCTTCCACCAGCGGCTTCGCCCGCGTGCTGTTTTGATAAAAAGCAGCAATAGAACAAAATTGAAGTATATGTCGCAGGGATATGATAAAAACAGGGATTTGGCCAAATCCCTAAGGGATTTGATCAAATCACGGAGGATGTTAAAATAACAACAAGTTTTTATCATTTCCCTAAGCAAATCTGGTAATTTGACAAATCTCACTAAGGAAATCTAGTGATTTGATCAAATCCATAAATTGGTTCAGTTAAATGACAAAAATAACTTTTGTGATATTTTTAAGGTTTATTTTGTAAGATTACCTACATAATTATAAAAATCAGGTGTATCACAATATTAATCTCAAAAATCACCACTAGAACATTATTATTTAAAAAAAGAGAAACAAAAATTAAAAAATAATATACGTAGAATAACTTAAGTTAAGGCGCGGTCACTGACAAGCAAGTGCGAGCGCGACGTTTTAATAGGTCGACACGAGCAGACGGATTACCCGATGGTAAGCAATCACCGCCACCCATGGACACCCGCAACGATGGAGTTACGAGTGCATTGCCGACCTTTTAGGGATTAGGGATTTGGAGATTTAGGGATTGAGGAGGGATTGGGGGAGGGGAAGGATTGGGCCTCCGGTAACCTCACTCACACGGCGAAACACAACGCTGTGGTTGTTTCACGCCGGTTTTTTGTGAGGCTTTTTTTTTTGTTTTTTTGTGAGGGGAAAATCATCAAATGACTTCTCCCGCTCAGGGCTGGGCAGGAGGGAGTGTCAGACTCTTACTTAGGAGTTACGTTCGTTCGTTTAGTTTAGTTACGTTCCAACTTAGGAGCCAAACGACGAAAATGCTCCGTGAAGTTCCATCGGCTGTCGAGGACGAGACCCAGGTACTTCATCGCCGACTCGACGCCGATGGTAACTCCTCCTGCCGTTATTTGGGACCCATCAGGAGGTGGCGCGTTCCGACGGCCATAAAAACACATGGCCTCGGACTTGTGAAGCGCCACCTCGAGTCCCAACTGCCGGATCCTTGCAACGACTGTCGCGACCGCTTGCGACATCAGGTCGGCCGCCGCCTGATGTGACCTCCCATTCGCCAGCACCAGCGTGTCGTCAGCATAACAAACAATGCTGACGCCGCTCGGGAGGTCGGTGCGGAGCACCCAATCGTACCCGATGTTCCACAGGAGAGGTCCCAGGACCGATCCCTGTGGAACACCGCGCGACACCTCTCGCCGATTCCACACGCCCCGGTGACCGGGGCAGATGACGCATCTGTCCGTCAAGTAAGCCTCGACTACACGACGGAGATAGGCAGGCACCCGGTGATACCGGAGTGCCTCCAGAATGCAGCTCTAGGGCAACGAGTTGAAGGCGTTGGCGATGTCCAGAGACACCGCCACGACGACCCGCCTCCTGGCCAACGCAGTCCCCGTCGTGAGGTCCCTCACGCGCATGATGGCGTCCACCGTGGAGCGCCCTCTGCGGAAGCCGAACTGGCCGTCCGCTAAATCCGGCCCCCTTCCAGACAGGTGCCCGACGAGGCGGTCTGAGATTATCCTCTCGAACAGTTTTCCCACCTCGTCGAGCAGCAGGGCACAATGGGCCGGTACGCGGTCGGAGAGTCCGCAGGACGCCCCGGCTTCTTCACGAGGACCAGTTTACCCGTCTTCCACGACAGCGGAAACTGGCCTCTCTCCGAACATGGTTTTTTGTGAGGCTGTGGTATCACTCCGGTCGGGCCGACCCATTCGTGCCGAAGCATGGCTCTCCCACACTTCTTAAACAAGAACTGGACATGTTTTATTATCATTTCACTAAATAAGTTTAGGGATTTGTCAAATCACCAGATTTGCTTAGGGAAATGATAAAAACTTGTTGTTATTTTAACATCCTCCGTGATTTGATCAAATCCCTTAGGAATTTGGCCAAATCCCTGTTTTTATCATATCCCTGCGACATATACATAAAATGTGTTATTAATCGTCTCATTTTTATGCTTCACCAATGGGTAAATATCCTATTACTTAGTAAGCCTCCGCTATCCGTCCGTCCATAGATAGAATGGTACGGATCTAACTTTGTAATACTAACTAGGTATTACAAATATTTCATAAAACCTATTATATTATACTTTTATACCGCGTCGCGTCGCGTCGAGCGCGGCAACCGTTACACAAAAATAATCCTTATAGCATGATTCAGTGTTCACATGCGACGGCGCGATGGCTTATTAAGCGAACTGCTAAGCTATCAGGAGTTACACGTGCTATTGTGAGTTAACCATAAAAGATAGACATATGCAGTAAAACAATTTTTTTTAGATAATTTTATGTAAAATATTTCTGTCATACATAATTCCTATGTAACTTTAACCATTAAGGCTACACACGGGACGGAAACTTAAAAAAGGGAGTTTCTTCTACCGTTTTCCCTTCACTGCTCTGGTCCTATTATTTGTAGCGTGATGAAAAGTATCCTATAAATTGCCCAGGAGTATAAAGAATAATTGTAGCAAGGTTTGTTAAAATCCGTTGAGTACTTTTAGTTTCTATAAGGAATATACAGACATACAGACAGACAGCCAGACAAAAAATTTACTGATTGCATTTTTGGCATCAGTATCGATCACTTATCACCTCCTGGTGAATTTTGGCATTTTGGAATTATATTTAATGTACAGAATTGACCTCTCTACAGAATTATTATAAGTACCTAAGTATATCTTATGGCCATTCAGAAATAAAAACGAAAAGGACTATCATAAGTAGTACCTAAGTTATGATGTCTTGAAGTAGAAGAACTGGTGCTAGAGGAAATAGAACATGATCCATTAACATTCACGTATACATTGCATTATTGCATAACAATGATGGATAAACATTGCTGCAAAAATAAATTATGCACAATTTGTCTATAATAAATAAATTTGCAGGTTTTTTATAAAAGACTTTTTTTATATTTTTTGATCGGGCATAAAATATACTTAAAGGCACTTCAAGGTTATCCATTCTTTACCGGTCACCCTGTATATAGTATATTCAAAATGTACAAGTAAAGCGTTTTCAAATGATACCAAACACGGCACATTTTATCCTTTATTTTTTTACCCTGAGTGGTTTGTCCGCTAGAGGACACCACATTAGATTTTGTGATACCCTATATAGCCTATAACCAGCGGACAATTAAGACGTTTCTAATGATATGTCATTTGTCGAATTCTGATAAGAAGTTTAGAAGTTACGAGAGAACAGATGAACATACATACATACATAGCCTGTTAAAATCATAAAGCAAAAAGTGCTTTGGCGTAGTCGGGTAAAAATGAAAAACATTCGCAAAATGTCGCGATCGCCTATTAAAATCGTTCCACCTATTTTGAACGTCAATTTGTACGCAGTGGCCATTAGTCCGGCCGGCCGCGGTCGATTCGAACGGCTAGAGACAGGACAGTTCGTGTTTATTTTGTCCGATTAATATTTTACTGATTATATTACCTATCAATAAAATATTTAAATATAACGGGTGCTACTTACAGTATCAAAAATAATATTCTTGTCTGAAAGTACAAAATTATTTTATTGAAAAATAATACACACACGACTGTATTCAGTTTCAGACAGAGTTTACAACAACAGTGTTTGCCAGGAGAGCGGAGGTCGAGGAGCAGCGCCTGGTGGCGTCCGCTGGTGGAGCGGCTGGGGGCGCCCTCACCGCATCCGTTTGATATTTTTTGCTGAATTTGTTTGAAAGCCAAGAATCTTGTCTCACAGAAGTTGTAGAGGCTTTAGCACAGAAGGTAGAATTGTCCTTGCGTACGGGTGTACATGATATTGTAGACAGCTCAGAGTCGGGCACTGCATGGCACGAGCCGCCGGTGGCGCCCTCTAGCGACACCCGCACGGCCACGCGCTGCGTACCCGCCGGCACGCTCAGCTCCAGCCTGCCGCCGGTCGCCTTCTTCTCCTTGCAACCTGCTTCACTGTCAACAACGACCCGGCCGAGCCCAGCCGCTTTCAGCTGTTGCTTAGACCGGAGCACACTCTCCAAGCCACCTGTCGTAGACTTAGCACACTTGCCTGCTTTGGAGGATGTGGTCGATGTATGAATTCTTCTATCACTGGAAGATTCCGGAAGACGAGAGCGAAGTCTTTCCACAATTGTTGGGCGGCGGCACCGAGGCGGGACAGCAGCCGGAGGGGGTGGATTGGCACACCAGCTCGGAGCAGGGGCGCCGCCAGTCTTGGGGACGGGGGCGCGCGGCGCGGGCGGCCGCGCTGGCTCAGCGCTGGCACTGCGGTCGACGTCGACTATAGTGCGCGGTCGGTGCGCACAGGGGTCCAGGAACGCGTCGCGGCGGATGCGGCAGGCGTCGTCGGGCGCCAGCTGCACGCAGCGCGGCGGTGGCGGGCGGCGGGCGGGCCCGCAGCGCGCGGCCGGCCCGCCCGCCGGCGGCAGCACGGCGTACGTGTGGCCGTCCGTGGCGCGCGCGCACTGGCTCTGGTCGCGCAGGCGGTACAGGCCGCGCGGGGGAGGGGGAGGGCTGCGCCGCGCGCGCTCCTCAACCTCCCGCTGGTACTCAGCTTGCTGCGCGCACTTGGCGAGCTTCAGTCTCACGGTAACCGGGTCTTCGTCAACTTGGCGAACGTGTAATGTGTCTTGAGCAGGATCTATGCGAGCCGTTTGGTTTGATGATTTACAATTCTGAAAAGATTTTTACAACTGACACTCCATATTCCACGCGAACAAAGTCCGCGACATTGTTCGCGTACGAAAGCTTGTAAGTATTATAAGTATTTCTAAATTGAATAGTTTGCATAAGAATCGTAACAAGTGATAAAATATGTCCTCTGTCTTATAAAATAGGAAGGGATCGCATAAACTTTCAGTGAAAAAACAAGAATTCTTCTTAAGCGAGCCCGACTCGCACTCTCATCCGCTTTTTTTTTCAAATTTTTTCCAAGTGACTCCTCTCTCCGTGGCTTGACAAAAAGTATCTTACTGACTAAAAAAGAGGTGCGGTACATTTTTGAGCTTGACCCGCATGCAACCCCGGCTAAACATCAGCATTATTGGGCCCCATCTGTGAAAACGCAATTAGGTACGTCCAGCCTGGAGCAGCAGGAGGAATGGGTGGATTTTAGTCGGTAAAAATTTGTTACTCTCTCCTTCCGCTCAGAGCAGGAGATGAAGTACCAAACAAAAATCCCCGCGACCGATAATGACGAACACGCTTCTTATGGTACCCACTAAAAGAAGTAAGTATAGGTAAACTATATTCAAAATTGAGCTGATATTGAAACATGATTGTATAAGGATGCACACGCAGTAGTCACCTGGTCGAGTGCGTCGCGGCAGGTGAGGGGGCGCGGGAGGGCGCGCGGCGGGCAGGGCGGGCGCTGGCCGTGCGCCGGCGGGCAGCACGTGACGCGCAGCGCCGTGCGCGCCGACGCGGGCGTCGCGCGGCACGCGGGCGCCGCCGCCGCCGGGCACGGCGCGCACTCCGGCAGCTCGCGGCCGCGGCACCCGCCGCCCCCCGCCGCCAGGCTGCCGCGCGCCCGCCCGCGCCCAGCGCCCAGCGCCGCGCGCGCCTGCCGCAGCGGTAGGAGAAGCGCCATGTCGTGCGTCGTGTGTGTGGAGTACTGCGGCGCGTCCGGCCCGCCGCCGGCTCGCCGCGGCCCTCGCGATGTGTTGGCGCGGCCACTCGGTTACGGATTTGTCTTCGTTCGATACACTATGATTGTCTTTTTTTCGTCACAACCAATGCGATACGTTTAATTGCCTGTTACTTTCAAATGAAACTACGTATACAGGCATACACACACACAGTTATACTCTCGCGCGGTTTCACCCGCTGTTTGGCTCCATTTGAATGTAGCGTTATGTTTTATAGCATATATATAGCACTCGGGAACATTATAGCTAGGTATCTACCAGTGAAAGAATTTTGGCAAATCTAACTCACGCAGGGCTCTGAGATAAGAATGGGCGTTCCGCAGGGTTCGATATTAGATCCTTTTCTCTTTTTAGTTTATGTTAATGACTTGCCATTTCTATTTAAAACTGTCAACCTCATAATTGGTTCACAATCAATAATTTAGCGCTAAATGATAAAAAATTGTATTAAATTAAGCTGGTCCAACGTAGTAATGATTGTGACATAGGTAATTTTAGATGGACAAAAGTTAGAATTTGTCAACGAGGCAGTGTTCCTAGCAAAGAGGATATAACCGTCATTGGTTTCTAGATATCATGCTAGACGAGTTGCTGATTTTGCAGTTAGACAGATTACACAGCTCAGACGTAAACACAGCAAGGCTTGTCTATTTTAGCTATGTTCACAGCATTTATAATATTATTGTATGATATTAACATTTTGTTTCTACCTATACCTAATTGTAAATTGGCAGCATGCTACGTCCTCTTTTGCTACTCAAGGTACTCAAAAGGGGACGTTTTAAGACGGTTAAGGTTTTTTTTATTAATGCACAATACTCATTTCGCATTTTTAACCGACTTCCAAAAAGGAGGATGGTTCTCAATTCGACCGTATATATGCTTTTTTTATGTTTGTTCGCCGATATCTCCGTAATTCTTTTTTTGTTGGTAAGGAGATAGTCTCAGAATGGTCCCATGATAAGGAAATCAGGATCTGATGATGGAAGACCAGAGAAATCGAAGAGAACTTTCAAAAATTGTAGGGGCGAGTGATGCTTTGGTATGTGGTTTTAGTAGGCTTTTGACAACGCTACAACTTGCCGATGTTCGAACTCGACCTGATTGTTTTTGTTAGGGCTTGAATGATTCGTATTGGTGAGCACTTTGCACCAAGATTGGTTGTGACTGTCATTCAGGGTCTGATGATGAAAACGACGGACAGCTCAGGGTTTTTTTTATATAAAAAACGTTGCCCCACATTAGGATTTTCTCCTGTGTCGTGGGTGCATTTACAAACATACAATGTTACATGCACATCGCACCCAGACCCGGAACAAGAATCTGTGGATCACACAAAGCGCTGTTTCATGCGGGAATCGAACCCGCGACACGTTGCGCGGCAGCCAGTTGCCCAGCCACCGCGCCAACCGTCCAGTCTGTCAACTCCTGAATTTGCAGTAACTACCTCGTGTTTGGACTTAATTCATTTATATTGATGAAAACTCTGCACCCTTTTGGAGTACAATGAAGTTATGCAGTAAATTGTGATGATGGACCCGGAAGACCGTCGTGGGATCTCCTTGACTAAGTATTTGGAGTACCTAGTTACAATGTGTTTAGACTTAATTCAATTGATGAGAACTTTGCACTTATATGGATTATGTATAATGAAGGTCTGCAGTATACATGATGATGGATGTCATTGACATTCGAGGGTTGGGATTCATGATTCCTCAACGATTTACGGCACTGAAAGCTGACTAACTCAGGACTGCCATTACCGTGATTTTCGGTCTCAAGTAGCCGTCGTCTTCTCTTTTAAGAAGCATCCTAGCTTTCTCTACCTATCACTTAAAATGGTGAAATAAAATAATTTTTAACAAAAAAAACCGACTTCAAAAAGTAAACTAAAAAGCGAAACATAAATTTACTTTGTAGAAAGTAATACATATTTTAATTTAGTTAAATAGATTAATAATTTAATTTAGTTAAATAATATTTAATAACTATTTTATAATCTTAAAGTCGGTGCCAAGTAAAACAATAATATCTTGCTAGTTTGATGATTAGTAGGTACCGATCAAAATATTTTTCTAATACTGTTATTGTTTGGTATTGGCTGCAGGGTAGCATTTTTCGTGCGACTACTGCAAATGCATCGAAACAACCTTGTCCGGTCAGCACCTGAGAGAGGCGCGCTCCTCTCCCTTCAGCCAGGCTTCGACGTGCGACAGAATAGCTTCGATACCGCGCTTGCATAAGTATTCCGAAATTTGTAGTCGCTCACGCCACCACACGAGCGCACGTGGCACCTTTCCTGCCGCCTCAGCCTAACAAGCGCTATTACTGGCAGTTTACTGCAGTTTTGGCTGCGAGTATAACGCGAGTATGGTTATACACCTTTACGTCTATATCCGTTAGCATATCCAAGGGTGGAACGTGAACCAGGAGGGTTGCCGCCTCGAAGGACACCGTTTGGTAACCTCTTGCGAACAAGATAACCGTTTAGCGCTGTAGACTATATATTTTCATTCTACTGCATTGGAGGCTAGACAGCCTGGTTGACCAAACAGGTGCCCCATAAAGGACCATCTACCTCATGACACCGACGCAAAGATACATAGATGCGACGAATTTCTCTTCGAGGCCCCCAATATTTGTCAGTAGTCTATGCAAACCACCCACTGCTTACTCGGGGGATCAGGCTTTCGAAAGCTCACCGACCTTCGAGGGTTAGGACTAAAGCCAACCTGGATTTGCGCATCTCCAACACGTAGCGATAAACTGGTAGGATCTTTGGTCCTCGACAGCTTATGAAACCACATCGCCTCAGTTTACTGAGGCGCTATATTCAAGCCCAGTCCGTAGATTGAAGTCACGACTTTTGCCACACCGAGCTGTGAAAGCCGAATACTCTGCTCAAAGTTCTCCTGTAGAGAACTAAAACCTCCCAAATTGCCTTCCAGGGTACGGAGTTAAAAGCGTTGACAATATCGATACTTATCGCCAACGCTACCCCACCCCGTGACACTGGGGTGCAGGGACAGAAGGCCTCCCCGTGGAGCAGCCTAGGTGCCGGCGACAGTCTCCCTACCGGGACGGTGACAGGGTTAGATTGACTGTCGCCCACACATTACATATCCGACGATGAAATGAAAGATGTGAATTTAATGCATGCATTATACAGGTATAGTATATATATATATTCATTCAAAATGTACATTTGCATATATATATATTCATTCAAAATGTACATTTATACAGGTATAGTATATATATATATTCATTCAAAATGCGCTTTCAAATGATACCAAACACGGCATCTCATCATCTTAACTTATTTTTTTTACCCTGAATGTTTTGTCCGCTAGAGGACGCCACATGAGATTTTGTGATATCCCATATAGCCTATAATCAGCGGACAATTAAGACGTTTCTAATGATATGTCATTTGTCGAATTCTGATAAGTAATTTAGAAGTTACGAGGGAACAGATGAACATACGTACATACGCATACGCAGCCTGCCAAAGTCATAACCCTCCTTTTGGTTTAAAAGTAAAATGTAGACATGTCTTCTAAATTGTTAATCAAATTTTATTCGCGTAAATCCCCCAGCATAATGAACGGAACAGCCGACCCCAGCTACACTTGCCCTCAAGTTGGGTTTATCGATTTATTCAATAAGGTACATCAACAATATACACAAAATACTTTTTTTTATTTATTTTATGACCGAGACAGAGATCTTATTATATGTATATTATCTTTAACAGACGTGCACAGCACACACTGTACATATGTCAACATAAACATAAAACTAAGGAAAGCTACAATGGAAACAAAAATGGACGGCGTTATACAAATACAACAAAATTTAATAAAAAAAAAAACAACAAAATTAATAATTTAAAACAAAATAAATGAGTGTGCCACAGATTGGCGAGTTTGATTGACGAATTGCATCGTCCCCTTTGTCCCACGCAAATACAATAACAAGATATCTAGTTAATAACGTGAAACCACGAAAACACAAAAGGGTCATACTGTGTCACCACTGTGTTAGTAGGCAGGTTGACGCGCAGATAGTACATAAAGATGAAACAAAGTTTGATTGGCAATGGCGGCGTCACTCTGCGAGGTAGTCGCGCTGCGGGGTCGCGCGGCTCTGCCACACCTGCAACACGCGCAAACTGTACAATGTGCAATAAACTATGGTGTAAGTATACGTATTTGCAGAAGATATCTAATATATGTATAAAATTTTCGTGTCACAGTTTTCGTTGCCATACTCCTCCGAAACGGCTTGACCGATTTTGATGAAATTTTTTGTGCTTATCCGGTATCTATGAAAATCAGTCAACATCTATTTTTCATCCCCCTAAATGTTTGGGTAGTCCACCCCTAAGCAAAACAACGTTTGCCGGGTCAGCTAGTAATCATGTAAAAATAATAAAACAAAACAACGTAATACAGAGGCTCATCAGCACATCAACAACTTCCAAAACTAGGAAAGGAATATACCAACCAGACAAAGTATATCTTATTACCGGAAACTCAAACCTGCCTCCCTCTTGGTTCTTCATCCACTATCCCCAATCCTCAAAAGGCCCTCAACGTACTTGTTACTCCTTCAGTGTTGCGGGTTGCAAGTCTCTCTACTGTCAACTGACACGTCTCTGGTCAATTGCCGTCCTATCCCATAAAAGAAGTGTATGCATCAATAGCTGTGTAACAAAGTAGGTAGGTATTGTTTCACTCACGTAGAGCTCCTCGCCGGCCAGAACCAGAAGCTCGGCCGACCTGTCGGGTAACAAGTCGGGCGACGAGTCGGGCGAGGCGTCCCCGGCGGCCAGCACGCAGCAGACGGCGGGCGCCGCGTGCGCCAGCACCGCGCCCCCCCCACACGTCAGCCTCGCACACACGCGCACCAGCGCGCTGTACGGGCCCAGCGACCTGCA